CCCCCCCCTTTCCGGGAAGTCATCTGACAAAGCGCATGATTTGTTCTGTTTTGGTCAGCTTGGGACTTGCTGTCGTGTGGGTAATTTCTATTCCCGCTCGATTAGCCTTCGCCATATTCGCCAGAGGATTATCCGTTACTTAAGTAGACAGAAAGTCGCCTCGAGAATGGCGAGCAGACAACTGAAACGCTCCCAGCTCTATGCAATAAGTCCAATGTAAACACCGTAAAATAAGTGGGAAAAAAAAAAAAACTAAGGCGACATTTTCTTCCTATCACTACTTTTTTATTTAATATTTGTCTACAGTACACTTATTCTCTAAAAATGGAAGCTTTTATGCAAACGATTCTTTGATAGGGCTTCGTCATACAGAGTTCTCATTACTGGACCAAGATATAACCCATGGCTTTGATGTGTTTGCCTCCATTATCTGAACTCGCGTCCTCTTTAGCCTCGTTTCCACACGTGTTGGAGTCATCATGATATCCTCCTGTACCAAACCCGATTCTCGAGTCAGGGCTGTGGCAATTGTCTTCGTTGTTACCCAGGAAACCGATCCTTGCTTTGGACGAGCCCTGAGCACCACCTGCAGCATTGAAGCCTTCTTTGTTACAGTTGAGCTGCAAAGAAGCCCCTGAACCAATCAGCATCTTCCACGTGTTACGACCCAGTGAGGTCGGGCGGTGTCGCCCGTCAGCGATCAATGAGTACAGAGAGTTGGCGCGCCAGTTAATAACCATGAACTTGATCTGTTGGCCGATCTTCATACCAAGACAGATCTTGGAGAAGGGTGTGTTCCAGTAGGTCAGTAGTTTGGTCTCTTGGAAATCAAACCCAGTCTTGCCTCCTGGTAAGTTAAACTCGTTCTTGTTGGTCCAGGGTGGAGAATTGTAGTGGAAGGTTGCCTAGATGAAAAGAAAGAAAAAAAGGCAGATTTTCAAAAGTTTGTCAACTTAATTGAACATTATATTTGCAACATTTTTTCCATAACTAACAAAACTCAATTTTGTCAAATGCTAAACGGGAGGGTAAATAAACCAGGAGTTTTGTCTTTGTTATACCTTGCTGCCATCAGTTTTCATGACCAGTGTCCATCCGCCTCCTCCGCATGCGCCAATTCCGTGGCTGGTCATGTGACAATACACAGGGATTTTTCCACTGTCAGTCTGCAGCACGTAGGCTTTATTTACTCGCAAACTGACGAATGAGAATAAGATATTTCAGGTTCGATCATACAAAGCCATTGTTTGTGAAATCATATCAGTTCAGCGTAAATTTATCTTTGGAGTGGTTTGAAGCAAATCATTATTTTTAAGCGATGACGTAGTCGTCGCTTATTGCTGGCAAGCAGCATTCGTTAGGATAAGTGACTTCGCCCTTATTTCGCGCTGTGCTTATGCCGCGCACTATTTACCCTTCGGTGGAAGCGAAATGCACTCAGGGAGCTAGTAAATAATACACACCAAAAATTCGCCAGCTTTGGTTGATTCGTGAAAGTCTGGATGTGACACTGGATTCCTCTTGGAGAAACCTATCTCAATGTTCTTTTTTTAAGTAACACTGCCGGTCATCGGAGTGCTTTTGATTTCAGTGCTTTTGATTTTAGCTTTTAAACGAAGATTTGAGGGTGGATTTTGGTTTATCCAGTATCGGATAAATTAGCGCTCAAGGGCAAACTCATAATAAGAACATATGGTCCAAGGTTCATTAGCCTGCAGTACAGACAGATTAGCGCGCTCTAGCGCGATACACGAGCGCGCGCGCGAAGCGCGAGGCGAGAAACAAAATATATAAAGTGCTACAAATAACCTGTCACACTGCAAACTGAATAAAATCATAGTTACCCCTGCAACAGTATATTGTAGAACACTCAGTTGACCTCTGAAAATGCAGGCACAATGAACAAGTTGCATTATGTGGGAGTCATGTATTGTAGGTTCATTTTGTTTGAGATGATCGTTGATTTGGCCTGCACACTCATGAGCTAAATGCTTGCAGATTCTCTTGCCATAACCAAATAAGCCGTAATGCAAGCGTAAAAGCAGAACCGGTTGAAAAACAAATGTTTTGTTAATCTGAACCTATTTTCATCCACACACCCCTTAGGCTGCTAGGCAGACGCTGTATCGCAGTTCCTGATAAGGAAATATTGTGTGACTGCGTAAGAGGCAACTTCAAGTTGATCGTTTTTTTAATTTTATTTTTTAACTTATTCATTTCTTAACTTGTGGCAATTGTTCTCACATCCCTGTTGATGAATGAACTCAAATTCTGTTTTCAAAGACCCCTTATAAATATATCCCAATTCTGCAAGTGCCAGCAAAAAGAAACGCCATCCCTTCTGCATGCATTGCGTGCCGTTTATTTAAACAAATCATGATCAGATCTCTACGCTTGTTGCAGTCACTGGCCTAGGGGGCGGGGGGATATGCAAAAACATTGCAAAACATTGCACCAATACAAAAGATTATGATCCTTGACCAATAACAAAACTCGATTGCTCGTTTTAAACAGCGCCATGCTTCCCTCGAGAATCTTCCAAGCGCCCCGAGAAACGGCTGTTTTGAAGAAGAACGTCAAAGGACATTCTAACGGTGAACTTACTTGTGTTTGTCATACAGTTCCTTACAGGAAGAAGCGGGAACAGCTGTGAAGAAAATTATACCTACGTTAATTGTTCGATATAAAAAAAATCGAAACAAGAACAAAACTCTGCAGATCAGTTAGTTCAAGTTTACCTGGTGGGGTAACCAGCGCGACAAGCTTTTCAAACTTCGCTTCCAGTTTCGTTTCCAAAGCCTTAATGGCTGAACAGACATCCGTCTCCCCACACCTGCCAGATTCGGCGCTGTGTTCAGCGATCAGAACGAACAAAGTTGCGCTAAAACAAGCTGCAAACAAAAATCGCATTTTGAGAAACCAGTCTGGCCAAGTTGACAATTTCTTAATTCTTCTTCAAGGAAGTAGGTTACTTTTAGTTGGTGTTTTAGTACGTGTGCCAGCTTTTAGTATGCACAGTTCAGTTGCCAAATTCCTGTCACACAAACCACACGTCAGGTATTATCTTACCACTCTAAATAGCCTGTTTCAGGTCATATCTGTTAAATTGTGCTAGTCATGTCCTCTTGGGTAAACAAGCATCCTTCAATGAATAAATAGCTCGTGTTTCATTCAGCTTGTGAGCAATGAAGCAATCTTGGCAAAACCTATGCTAGTCTCCCACGGCCACGCAGACGCTCTTTAACAGGACTTACCACATGTTCCTACCCGGAATAATCAATCGATATCTCGGTCGACAAATCGATAAAATTCGGTGAATCTGATGTGATGAACTCCTTGCTTCCAATAAATAGAGGATAATACACATAGGTGAGCGTAGATATGGAATATCTCTTCGGGTGTTTACCTTCGAGTGTTCACCTTCACCGCAGCGAACGAGTGAGATATAAAGTTGAACGCGTACACGAGAAGATATATTCCATATCTACAAGCAACCATGTATTATTTTGTTTATTATATTGACGTACTGATAACGACGTTTTCGACGATGTTCTGAATATCTCCGACCACTTTCCGAAGATTCCCCCAAAACTGTTCTAAGAGCACACGAAGTTCCCGAAAATTTCCGAAGATGTCCGAAGACTTTTGAGGAAGATCCGAAGACGTTTCGATCATACACCAACAAGGTTAAGTACAGTTTTAAAAGGTCAAACATGATATCAGTGGAGTCATCGACATCTTTACTACTGCGGATATGGAAAATACGCCACCCGAGTCCCGGATGTGGTTTCGTATGAATTTTACGACTGGTGAAACGGTCGTGTCTGTGTAATACATAAATGGTTTGAAATAATCTGCAAGTGTGTTTAAGCAATGCGCCAACTACTGAAAACAAATAATTGGCTTGAGAATCTTTTTGGAATGAAGAAACTTAGGCTTCGGCTCAGAGATAAATGATAAATGCATAGCTGCCGTCCAGAACTCGGCAGTGGGATGAAATTGACCCGGTCTAACTCGTCCTGCATCGCTCATCTTTTGCTGAATATCTGCCATTTTACGTTGGTAACATAACACGAGAGCAGTTTTCTGGCGTCCATCTTTACATCTACAACACTACTGCGTGCAATGCCGTGGCAGTCATCCATTTCCTACCTTCTCGTTAATCCAAACGCGTCTGTTTCTGATTTCGTTTTGTTTTCCCGGCATCTGACATGCACCACGCTATTATAAAAACAAAATGTTGGGCACAAGGATGTTATTTGTGTGACTCACTCAAACGAATAGACTTCAGGATTTTTTTTTATTAATTAAACTCAACAAAAAAGTTTTATTTATTCATAGCATAACTCTAAAACCTCCGATAGATGTTGATAGCGGAAGGCAAGTGATAATTCTCAGAAAAAAAAAACAAAAATCACAAACACACACACAATAAAATTTCTCTCTCGTCTTCCGTGTTGTTTTTTTCTAAAATTTTAATAACATGTCTCAGTTCAAAATATCTCAGCTACGGGTTCTGGTCTTCATGCAGTTTGGGCCGAAAAGAGGCCACAATGCTTTCAAATGTGGACCAATGAGGCCTGGTTTACATGTATCATTACCATCGAGTAGTCTTGGAAATGCATCACTTTTGTAGCACCAATTTCAATCAAGAGAGGTAAATTTTGCAAATAAATTTTGTTAAAAAAACAGATAAATTAACACACAGGTAACTTAGAAAAGAGTGGATGGGTGAGAGGGTCTCATATTATTATGAATTACTTTCGAATGCGTCTGTCAGTCCAGATTGCCTGGCAACAAATAAAATACTTCCAGGAAAATAGGCTACTAGTTCTTGGCCGAGCATGTACCTGAAAAGTGTCTTTACATAACAATCTTTGAGGATAAGCAGGTTTTCTCCCACGGTCTATCTTTCTTGCCCCCCTGGAGCAAGAGCACGGTAGCTTGCATACATTTTAAAGAAATTCTGGAGAATTTTTGGAATTTGTATGAAGAAGATTAGTGAATTTGAGGTAAGAGAGGACAAATGTCGATTTGCTGAACATTCTAAATCACTAGATTTTGCCTAATGATACATTGACAGCAAAATAGACTAACCCAAACTTGAAGTGATTTTGTGTTGGGGTAGTCTATTTGCTAGTGCTGGCTTCTTCCCACCTCCAGTCCCCCTATTTTATTGCTTCCTCAACCTTCAATAAGTATTTAAAAACAAGCACGTATACATGCTGCTCCCCCTTAATAAATAACAAACCCAAAGTTACCCCTTCAACATTTTCAACTATTTTATAACGATAATGACTATTTTAACTATCATAAATATTATAACTATTTTAGGGACAGTGCCTACTTTTGTTAGTGCGCATACGTTCTGCGCATCATACAAGACATGGTTCAAATGCCATGTGAGAGCTGAGAGCTGAAATTGACAAAATCTACTATGCTAGTTAGTGTGCCACTTCAATGAAAGCAAAAATTTCCTACTATGACCAAATCAAGTTAATGAACCTGTACTAAACTAGGAACACCAGAATAGCATCATATCACTAACCACTAACTGATAACCACTCCAGCTGAAAAAAACTAGCTGTTAGTTACGACATTTTTCCAGAGTGAGTCCCAATTTAGGGAAATACCTTTGTATTTATTAGGCACTGTCCTTAAAAGAGTGTGGATAAAATTTAATTAAATCGATCGGCTCAACAATCATGTATATTTCTGACTTGTCAACTGAATTCTCAAGGCTAAGAATATTGCGCTGAGAAACCATGCACAACCAATATCAACTAATCATTCTAATCACTATAAGAAAATGGTGTAAACCATCTTATACGGTAAACTTAAAATAAGCCCAAATAATTATTTGCTGCCGATATTTAACATGAAATACATGAAGATGCGTCAAATAGTGGTACATTAAAGCAATGGGCAAACCTTGACTTGAGCCAAGTTGGTTGTTTTGATTCTCTCAGACATGTATACAAAGCCAAAATTAAATGGGAGTGACACAATTTAAGTGAAAAAGTGAGCATAGACGAAGAAATAAAATCAGACTTGGCTGTGCATCCAGCTTTTGTATATTTTCAATCAGAACATGTCTGAGAGCATCTAAACTAAAGTGCCAACTCGAAGCAAGACTGTTGCTTTTTGGGGGTGACTTCTGTTACTATCAGAATCAATCACGCCCCAGAGTGAACTTAAATGAAATCTTTACAGGAGGTTCTCTTTAATGCCGCTGCATTCCACTCCACTGTCATTAGCCCAAATCACCCAAATTGAAAAGCTTTACTTTCCTTTTGCAATTTTCTTGTTCCTCAAGAACCTCTGTATGTACGCTACCTCACGGTGAGCTTTTAAGATTAATTCCACAACGCATAGCTGCTAGCTTTCTTTGCTGTGTACTTTCTGTCCTTCTGTAACATGTCTGTGTAACAGCTTACAATCTTCTCCTTTCATCTATTTGATGATTCAAATGTACATTTATTAAAACAGTCCTTTTGCACCTCTGGAGGACTGGTCTGTAAAAGTCCCTTCCAACTGTTTAGTATTGCTGCAGTAAGTGCATCATTCCTCATCACTGGAAGGTGAGAGCAAATTTAACTCGTCCATGTTTAGATGGCCTGGTGCCTGATGAAATGAAGACCATTGTCAGTACTTTTGAAGGCAGGGTGGTTTCTGTACTATAAAGTGTTACCACTACCCCTGAATCAGATGTTAGTTTACTGCAGTCTAATCCCTAGCATTTTAGTAACTTACCTTAACAATATGCTGGAACCTGTTTATACCATTAATTATTTTATGCCCTTACAAAAACGGATACAAAGTAAAAATAAAACCTCTTGCTCATCAAAACAACCCTCTAAATCTGGAGTCCAACACCTAAACATTACTACTATAAAATTTATCTTCCAACTCTTTTTTCCACCCAGCATTACAATAAAATTTACAATAACATCCTATTCTATTAAAGGCAGGGATAAAGCTAAGAAAATGCTGAACAAGCTCATTAACAAGCCCAGCTGGCTTTTCTGGCCTTGAGCTCCAATGTTTACCAAAGCCTCTGTTTTTGTGTGAAATTTCAGGCAGATTTAAGTTCTCTTTTTGCCAGTGAAATTAGCTGGCAGTCAGTCCTTAGTGATATTCCTGCTAAGGAGAGTCTGAATCTTAGCTTTTCATTTCAATAGTTGTTTTCAAATTTTACATGTGTTTCTTGAACTTGCCTAATAGTTGCCAAATTTTCTCACTATTTGGTAATTGGATGAAACAATCTGCTACAGATGTAAATATTTACATGAAACATAAAGAAGATTAATACACTTGGACTTCCCTCTTCTCCTAGCTTTCTGTTCAAAATATGTGCAGGGTGTCAAGGTTTCAGTGCTCTAACAGACATCAAATTCAACCAAAATTATGATATTACATGTACATGCATGTAACTACCTTTCCAAAGTAGCGAACTTTCTTTAATTTCCTCCTGCGGCAACATCTGCACAGCACAACCAAGAATGCGATGAGAAGAGCAGCACATGCTCCAGCACCAACTGGAATGAGCACATTTACGTAGAAAAATTGCACGTTCTGCAAGGTGTAATTTCAAATAATTTGGTCAGTAGCTGTGGTAAACACAAATTCAACAATTTTTTTTTCTCAAGAGGTATGAGTATCTACTTTTAATTACAAAAACTGGATCACTGGATAATACAATTTGAGAGTTTTTATTTGCTTAGTTATCATGGTTATGAGCCATTATACCATGCTCCAGAAATGTTGTAAGCGTACATGTGAGTTTTTTTGGGCATTTTTATTTTTATTTTAGTTTTAGTTTTCTATATTGTGCAGTACCAGAAATATCCATACTTCCCCACAGAAGGGATTGGAATTTCCTGGGGGGTGTTCCCTAAGGCCAAAATATTTAAAGAAACGTATCAAATTTAAGTGAAATTTCCAGAGGGGTGGGGGGTGGGGGGTCTTGGAAAAATCCCTTCTGTGGGGGAGGTATGGATGTTTTCTGGAACTACACATTTTGGGGACATTTTTAATAAAACAATAATTCCACTCACGCATGTTGGATATAAGATGATTATAGCCAGTGCCTCATTGGCTATCTACCATCTCATATCCAATGCGCGCCTGTGGAATAATTGTTAACTGTCATGTATTCAACATCTAGATTCCATGTTACCATGCTTCTATTCAGTAATTGATCATAGATGATATCAAAATGTGGTAAGAACAAAAAAGTGGTAAGAACAAAAAAAGTGACACACAAGGCAATAGCTGGGTGTGTCACTGACATCTAATCAGTTACTGAACAAACACACCACAACACATAATCTATTTGTTTTATATAATAAAGGAACAAAAAAATGATATTAATGATGTCATCTATTTGTGACTGTCCTCTAACTGATCATAAGTTGCAAGAATAATTCAACTTATTATACAATGCCCGTTAAAACTATGACTGTATATGAAATGGCCAATAAACAACAAATTTGGAAAATTTCCATATAACAATGAAATGTCATGAATACCTTTTCATCATCTTGAGGAGATGGCACTGAAAGAATCAAACAACAAAAAATAACAATATTATTATTACATATGTACATACTGACGCCTGGTTAGCAAAGTTGGCAAAGTGATATACTGCTGTGCGGGAGGTTGAGGGTTTGCGCCCCAGACTGGACGAACACTCAGGGTCTTAAAATAACTGAGGAGAATGTGCTGCCTTTGTAATTACATTCTGCAAATGGTTAGACATTCAAGTCTTCTCGAATAAGGACTATAAACTGTAGGCCCAACCTCCTGCATCTTCAATGTTACATGGTTAGCTGGAGACGTTAAAGAACCCACACACTTACTGCAAAGAGTAGGGTGCAGAGTTAATGGTGTTGTGGTCCAGCCTTGTCTTGTGGTAAGGTTAACCTTGTTGCACCTTTCCCCCTTAGACACAAGTGTCCAAGCAAAATTGTTATGTCTACAATGTATGTCTCACTCTATACATGTACTTCTAACAAAACAATGTAATTGCCATTTCAGTAGGTCTAAACAATTTCTCGGTGACTCTGCCACATAAGCCACATTATATGTGTCCGCAGACCAACAAACAATCTAGAAAAATTAAAGTTTTTGTCAAAAGCATCATAATACAGTAGGACAGATTGTAAGCTATTGTCAGTATGATCCAACATTTCCCCACTTCTGCTTTAAATTTCTCGCAACTGTTCATGTAGCCATGTAAGTGCAAAGATATTTTTTCCACAACCTGTTCTTTCAGCATATTTTCCACACTGAATAAACAACAGTTATATTCATAAATTGTGGTCAATATTTGTGGTATCTAAACCAATATCAGACCTGCTAAGATTTATGAGTTTGTTTAGACTAACATCTTCCAAAGCTTGATTCACCTGCATGCTTCCACAAGTGAGCTCATTGTGGGAGGCTGTGGTATGTTCCTTACACAGCCAGGCTAGACAAACTGCAAAGTTGCTTCCAAGAGCTTGTACTATTGCATGAAATTTTCTACCATGCTTGGCATAAATTACAAACCTTAATATGCATGTTTTGCAGAGGTTTGTATTGGTTTAACAGGATACCAGTCCACCCTACTTGGCAACAATGATCTACTTTATATCGAATTTGCTTCTGGCTAATAAGCAAAGAGGACATGAACATATTCTTTCGTTCATAAATACCGCCAACTACAGCAGATGTAGATAACATGCAAATTATTTTAACAGGTGCTCTTAAACAGTTGTCAAAAATGTCAAATTTGAAATTTTTTGTTTGTAACCACAAGTTCCTCGAATGTAGATGTTTAAATTGCCTTTCCATATATATTTTTCTTTTCTTCTCAAATTTAAAACAGCAGTAGGAACCTTCCTATTTAGACTGCAATTAAAAACTCACTTGTGTGTTGACCAGTGGAAGACTCGTCTTCACTCGATGTTTGGGAAGATTTTTCCTGTGTTGTTGTAGTGGTCTCAACGGTCTTCACTGTCTCCTTTTTCGTCGTACTTTTTGTAGTAGTTTGTGTTGTGCTTTCTTTCGTTGTACTTCCTTTCGTTGAACTTTCTTCCGTAGTACTTTCTTTCGTCGTACTTCCTATTGTACTCGGAGGAGAAGATTCTGTCGTAGAAGCTGAAGTTTTCTCAGTTGTCGATTCTTTCGTTGTAGTACCTGCCGTAGAAGGCTGTGTAGTTGTCGCTTCCGAAGTTGATTCCTGTGTAGTTGTTATGGATTTTGTACTTGTTTCTTTTGCGCTTGTGATCGACGTTTCTGTAGTATTTACATGTGTGGCGTTCAGAATTGAGGTTGGGGTAGCAACGGTTCCATTTGTTGTGGAATTGTTGGTCGAAGCAGTCGAGTTTGGAGATGTCCCGGGAGACGTTGTGTTAGATTTTACTTCTGTAACGTTCTGTGTCGATGTTCCATTAGCCGCAGACATAAGTGTTTGATTTGTCGAAGTTGCGTTCGGGTTTTTCGCTGGTGGAGCAGTTGCGGTCGTGTTAATCGAAGATGTTACGTTCACAATTGAATAATTCCCGGAATTATTTGTAACATTCGATGTAGCGGGAGATTGCGTTGTGTTGGAAACCGCAGAGAGGCTTGTGGAACTATTAACGCTAACATTTCGACAAACGACTGACAGATTACCCGCCTTCACCGTATCGCAGTGTTTGGTAAGATTCAACGTAGTGCCATTGCACGAAGGAAGCAGTTGTGTCCTATTTGGTGAGCAAATATCCGTCAAATTGATGTGGATCATAGTTGCGTTGGCTTGCAAAGTTGAGTTTTGCGTCGTACAGTTTGAAATCGTTGCATTACACGATGTAGTTGCGTTAACAGCTGTTGAATTCTGCAGAGTAGAGTTTCCATTGCTTGATGTCGTGTTCACAGACGATACATTTGCTGAAACCACAGTCTCGTTCAAAGGAGCAGCTTTTACGTGCGAAACACAAAGTGGTACCAAAACGGCAATTGCCACAGAAATGGCTAACGCGTAATTCTTGTCCATTTTCTTTTCTAGGGAAATACAGACGATTGTAACACAAAAAAGGGCCCCAGAATTACCTCACAGCCTCCTTCAATAAGCGATTTTGCGTGAATATTCCTCCCTCTGTTAGAAAATCGTAAATTAAATGAAGCCCGCTCAAACTTGACTAACACAGTAATGACTCGGAATGCGTGACGTCAGCAAGTTGTCGATTCCTTCAATGCCTTTTGTTCTCCATTGACAGAATAAATAATTGATTCTCGAAATTAATTTGATTGTGGACACAAGCTAAGCGTTCGCACTATGTTTGTATGACGATAAAAATTGGTCTCTTAAGATTGAAATTTCGTCGTCGCATCTGCAGTTACAAGGGCCAATAAATTGGCCGTTATTGAAAACAGGAATAATGCAGACAGTCAATACTGGTAGTTTCATAATCAGAGTAAAATGCTTTTACCCTTCTAAACATTACCAGTAAATTCTCCTCACAAACTGTCATTCATTTCTTACATGTTAGCTATGAGGAGGTGATGATGAGTTCTTCATGACTGCAGTCTTAGGAATTCAAGTGCATTTGCCAGACATTATGCAATGTTCCAGTAACATTTTATATTCCTTGTGAAGGAGATCTCTCAAAAATAGTCCTACACTCTTCCTCCAAGACATCACAGAATACTTCAAAATGATGATTAAGTCCCACTTGGGTATGAATTTTATATCTGCTGCCCAATGCTCCAGTAACACTGTCAGTGCAACCGTAAAATACCCGTCTAATTCTGGAATGGACTAGGGCCATTGCACACCTGGAAAAAAAAAAAAATAATAATAGAATAAAAACGCGTTTTGACCCTTACACCTATAGTATGTCCTGTAATACTCCGCATTGAAAGATCCTTTTTCACACTGTATCACTGTCTTGTATCTACAGGATCCTAACATGTGGGTCCAAAAAATATTCACACCCACCCCAAGGAGGGTTTTGGAGATTCCAAGCTAGGGGGAGAGGGCTCTCAGAGGCCAAAATTTAAAAAGGAATGTATAAACCAAAACTGGAATTTCGAGGGAGTGGGGGTGGGGGGTTCAAGCCAAAGAAACCCTCCAGCTATGCATCATCACCATCATCATCATCATCTTTGTTTAAAAACATGCTAAATACATCAGGCATTATCAATTTAATATAAAAGCTACAACTTATTAC